AAGCATGAGCCACACAGGCTATTGAAGCATGAGCCACACAGGCTATTAAAGCATGAGCCACACAGGCTGTTGAAGCATGAGCCACAAGGGCTATTGAAGCATGAGCCACACAGGCTATGGAAGCAGGAGCCACAAAAGTTTTTGAACATATAGGGCAGCAAACCATGTCTGCAAAGACAGGCTAGTGCAAATGGGCTACAAATGGTATAGCCTTGCGCATGAGCCACAGAGGCTTTAATCTGCATGAGCCACACAGGCTAATATGAACATGCCACACAAGGTGACAAGTGTTCTTGCAAACAAAATTTTGTCGCAAAACCTTTGCAAATTTCCAATTTCAAATTGCCAAACAGTTTGCAAGCATTGTTTCTTTACTAAATGCTGACATTTTCACACAAAAAGACTTGGTTTTGAAGAATGTTTTTACTTAAAAAAATATGGTGGAAAATTAACAACATGACATGTTAAAAATTAGCTAATTCTTCTAAGTGTTTATCTTATTTAACATGTTTAGCTAAATATTAGCTAAGTATTATAAACTTATTAACCTTTTAGAAGTAGCTTAGGAGTGTCTTATGAACTAGTAAGGAGTTCTTTAACAAAGTGTTAGTATTCATTCCTAAGTCTACTAACCTATTAGCAAGACCACAGCCCATCTAAGTATGTTTCGCGAAGCGATTCGGCATGGATGGTTGATCGCGTGGATCGCCGGGCCACCCTGCGAGACCTGGAGCAGGGCACGTGCAAATGCACTGCCAAATGGACCACGGCCTGTGCGGCGACGTGGATATCCATGGGGCAACCACGACCTGACAAGCCGAGAGGATCGACAAGTGTCCATGGGAAGCCTTCTTTTAGGCATTGCCTTGAAGCTTTTTTGGACGGCCATGGTCTACGGCGCCACTGCAATACTAGAGCACCCGGCGGACCTTGGGGATGGCTTGAACGCCCCAAGTATCTGGAGGCTCAGCGTGGTCTTGTTTTTTCTTCGCTTCACATGTTGCGAGAAAGTTGACTTGCTCCAGGGTCATTATGGAGGACTCACACCAAAGCCAACGTCGCTTTTGGTGGCCCACGGTGCTGCGCACAGTAGCCACTTTTTACAGACCCTGCGAACCACTCCTCTACCGCGGCGCGCTGCTACGGGGAAAAATGAGGATGGGACGTGGAAGACTGCGGTATTAAAACAATACCCAGCAGGGCTCTGTCGCGCACTTTGCAGCCTAGTGGAAGCAGGACAATCCCATATGAGCAGAGATGGAGGCGAAATCCCTGCGGAGTTCATGGATGCTGTTGCTGACTTATTGCAGGATTTCGATTTTCAAGCTCAAATGGGGCCTGATTTCCATGGCTGATGAATGCAAGAAATTTGTAATTTGATGCACTTCGACCGCGGGCGACAGCCTATGGTAACCGAAAGAGGAAAAGAGAGCCGGTCCAGCCATCGCGAGTGGAGTATGTTGCAGCCGGTCCTTCACATGGTCCGTCGCCTCCGGCGGTGAGCCATCCAACCGAGATAACGGCTTCAACGCGAGCTGGGACACCAACTCAGTCGTTGGGCAATCCCGACGGGCTGCGAGACTGCGAGCGGGCTGCGCTCTGACACATACCACGACGCAGCCCGCGTGACGCAGCCCGCGTGCCGGAAAACCCGCCACCTTCGCTTGCGCATCTCGGATCTTTCCA